CATTTATTCTACTCTCGTGCTTCTTCTGCCATACCCAACTTTCACTACCATACGTTAAAGTAGGGACCAACACAGCATTGTGAATTGCCATACGTGCCTTTTTTTGACACATTTTGACTCTTCACAATAGAGTGCAGGGCCCCATTTACTCTGTTTCCTGCGTTCACTCATCGTTCTATATCCTTATCATATCTCCCATCCCTGCTAAATACGCAACCCAAATATACAAACTCGTCTACTTGCTCGATCAACTCCCCTTCTATTCTTATTTCACATATCGTTTTACTTTCATCTCTTTCAAAAACCATAATTTTTGTCTTACTTGCGTTCACTTTCATACCCCTTTCTTTTAATGATCTGTTCATTAATGTAACCACCATTTGCAACTCAGCCGCCGACGACGCAAGAATAACTTGATCATCTGCGTACAAAAGGCATTTGATGGTTAACTCACCCATTCTTAATCCGCATTCTTCAACTTTCAAATTTTGCAAACAACTGTCCATAAATAGGTTGAACAACCACGGGGAAGCCACACAGCCCTGTCTGACACCTTTATGGATGCCAAACCAGTCCGAGTAGACCCCGTTGATCCTAACACAAGCACTAGAGTCCCTATAAAGAGATTCCAATGCCTGTATCAAGCCAGCGCTCAACCCAAATGAGTTCAGTGTTTGCCATAGCACATTCCTATCCACTCTGTCATAGGCCTTCTCCAAGTCCATGAACGCACAAAAAACCTTTTGGTTTTTGGCCAAAAACTTCTCCGCGATCATGCGCATGGAGAAGATGCGCTGTGATGATCCTTGGAAGAATACTAGGCCATAATAATGAAATTATTGTACTGTCTACTCTACGTCTGGAAATCAGTCTATTCAGATAATATCTGGAAGTGGGTGAAAAATTAATTATGAAATTCCATTAAAACCATACATACATATATTTCAGTCAAGCTAATAAAAGCGTGCGTAAAGTAAATATAGTGACATATACATTTATAAAAGGTCCAAGTTACATAGTGAGCCAACATTGTGACTAGAATATATCGCATGGTTCACCTATAGCTTACCAAAAAACAACCGATAGATAAGGCAAAATTAGTTACGAAAAATAGAAATCTCTGTTACTGTTGCCCCCCGGCTACACACTTATCGAATAGTATGGGAAGTAGCGAGGAAAGGAGGCAGAGATCTAGTGTGGCCACAATACGCGTCATGCCGCATGTCATGCTTCTCGTCATGCCCATCGCTCCCTGTTTTATCGGTTTTGGGGCGCGAGTCAAAGGAGTGGTAATATGAGCGCGAGTGACTGGCCACACACTCGCGCAAACCGCAAGCGCAGTCGGAGTCTCTGAGTCGAGCGCTCGGTACGGAAGCGCGTCACGTGTCGTTTAAAAATCATAAATAGTGTACCTATCATCATCTTTCAGCTATAATAACACATGAATAAATATTATACGGAGAAAAAGATATCTCGACGACACCTTTTTATTTCTTTTTATGACATTGATATAATTAGCTAACAATAAATATGAATAGCTCGTATGCCGCAACAGTTTCAACATCCATTGTGTTGCAAACGCTAGCGACCTAGTGCGCAGCGTCGCGATTAATTGCGCGAGTAGAGCAGTGTGTGGACAGACAGCTAAACATCGGGGCAGCGAGCAGAGTGATGAGCAGCAAGAAGAACATTGTGTGGCCGAGTCATTAGACCGTCACTACACGGTCGAAGAAATCTCATAAAAAGAGATCAGAGATCTCTTTTTTTAAATCCTTACTGGCACTAGGATTTTCTCTAGTATCGTGGAAGCGTTTTACATATATAAATAACGCAAAACAAACATTGCGATCGGAACAAGCAATTGTAAGCAATAAAACACTAGTTCTGTGCGGGATTCGAACCCGCGGTTCTACAGCCAAATGCTTAGGCCTCTGCGCTATCCAGTCATCTTAGTTGCATGCCTATAGATAGAACACAATCTCTATATATTACAGAAAGATTACTGCGTTTTCTTAATGTAGCTCTGTTAATATTCCCGTTTTAGCAGATCATAAAATAAATAATTAAAAAAATCAAAAACCCGGCTGCATAAAAGACAATTTAAAAGTAACACTAAAAAGACCGAAACAAGATTGAGTAAACAGAAGAAAATTAAAAAAAAAACTATAAACAAGTTAAACTCTATTTCGGTTTAACAGACAATATTATGAGCTGAAAGCCAATGTAAAATAGCCTAAGTAAAACATTAAGTTTCCGTAGCAGGCGTGACTCAATTACAGATTAAGGTACCTGCGGGTAATAAGGCCTGTCGACTAATAAGGCCTAAGTAACAAAAATCGTATTTATAATATCCGCTCTCGCTCAAGGAGAAAACAACGGACTCCTATTACACGATAATGTCTCTACAAGTTTGCAGAGACGCGCTACCCCGTGTCCTGCCACCAGAGTTTTATTATTTATAATAAGATATCTCCGCACTTGACCAATAATAAAAATCAGTCTAATTATATCTTAGATATTTTTTGTTATGTTACACTAAGCTATCTAAAATCACAATCTTTATCTGTGTGAATAAATGCTTTGTTGATCTTGAAGATTTGAATAACGTATTGTCGTATTTTTTTTTAAATTTGGTTTTTCCTAAATACATGGTCGGCGGTTATTAAGGCCTACTAAATTTCATCATAGGCCTTATTATACTCTAACTCTAATAACATTAAACCCAACAGTCAATTCAACTCTCAACTCAACCTAACACTCATCTAACTCGATTACTCGAGACACAACCGAAGCACTGGTGATAATCACGAGGAGTGCGTTGTTTGTTAGTTTGTTCATGATTATAATAATGACCTAAGTGTTTTAGACGAGGAAGATTATATTTTTTTAGAACTTTAGGTCGTAGCTGCTGCATTTTTGTAATTATTGATCACAAATATTAAATATATTACGTATGTTTTGATAATTTTAGTTCGTTAAAGCAGTAGGCCATATTATCCAACCATAGTAAAATAAGGCCTACTGGCAAGGTTTTTAGAAATGTTTAATTTTGTTTTTCCTAATGGCAAATGTTACAATTTTTCGTTCATGCTTTTTAGAAACTGTACTAATCCAATGATTTTTATTAAAATATGTAGACCAAATTGGATATTTGTACCGCAGGTACCTTACACTGAAAGAAAATTAATGGGTCCCGCCTGCTACAAAACTTAATATTTTACTTAGGCTATTTTACTTAGGCTTTCAGCTTATAATATAGTCTGTTAAACCGAAGTAGAGTTTAATTTGTTTATAGTTATTTTTTTAATTTTCTTTTGTTTACTCAATCTTCTTTCGGTCTTTTTAGTGTTACTTTTAAATTGTCTTTTATGCAGCCGTGTTTTTGATTTTTTTAATTATTTCTTTTATTTAAGACTTTTAACGAAAGTTTTGTTATTTTTTATTAACGTATTACTGTTTTGCGCCATGTTGTTTATTAAAAAAGCTATCTAAGAATAAAACGATACCTTAATTATTGAAATCCATCTAGCCGTCTGGACGATACGAGGTATTAAAGAAATAATCTCCTTTTAATTTCCTTTATTTTGATATCCTATTCAATAGGTTTAGTAATTTTTTTTTATTTAACGTATTATTTTGCGCCAAAAATCCGCCATTTTGTTTATTAAAAAAATAGCTATCTAAGAACACTTGGGTTATTAAGACGAATAAAACGATACCTTAAGGGGATAGAGTAAGTCAGCTCAAATTCTAATTTCGTCCCTACTTGCCCGCGCGTCGTATGCTATGTACCGACATGTTTATAATTACTAATGCTGTAAGTAGAAAGGTCGTTAGACACTTATTTCATTAGGTTTATCATATTTATGCCTGTTTCTTAACGCCAAGCCAGTCGCTTCTTATTTTTATTACGGTTATTTCCCATTTTAATTTTACGTCGTCGTCGTCGTCGTCGTCGATCAGAATATACATTATGCTGTTGCGTATTTGAACGGGGAGGTTGTAAGCGATACAACCTCCCCGTTCAAAGGCCGAAGCGAAGTGACCGTGCGGCAGGAACCACGCTTCAAGAGGCCGATAGTTTAGGTAATTTCTTTTTACAGTGAAAATAATGGTATTTTAAAAAAAGTAAATAACATAAGCACTGCTTTATAGTTAGTTCAGTTAGTATGCAAAGTTTCATGATCTTATTTAAAGTATTTTATGAATAACAGCGGTTTATTGTTTATTTTGGATGTAACTTTGGATTTTTTTTCTATCGAGATAATTTTACGAAATCGTGTTTTCGTCTAACATAATCTTTAACATTAATCCTCAACTTTACCATATATTTATTTCAAAATTAATGCTTCAATATTTTCGGCATAACGAAGGATCTTGCTTAGCCATTTGAGATTATATTTCCCCTTAATTGTCGAAATCCATCCAGCCGTTTGTAAAGTTGGCAGTCGGGTAAAAAGTCGAACATAGGGCTCCGCCATAGATTGCTTCATAGGAGGATACGTGCCGCAGTTGATACGCTTGGCAGCGGGGTTGGCACGCAGTTTTTTATTATAAGTTGTTATTAAGAAAACACCACGGTCTATCTTTTTTTATATAGGAAAAGGGTAACAAGCGAGCACACTGTCCACCTGCTGGTAAGTGGTTGCTGTGGCCCATAGACATCTACATCTATCCTCGTTTGCGAATCAAAATGCAGATGCGTTGCCATCCTTGAGGACTAAAATGGAATGCCCCTTTTCCGGTAAAAAGGGTCTCCGATTCTCTACACTTACCATACGAAACACAGCAGCATTAAGCTGCTATTTGACGCTGGTATTCTGTGAGAGCGTGGTCCTTCCCCGGTCGAGCCGACCCATTCGTGCTACGACTATACAATTAATATAGCTGCAGCATGGCTCTACCACGTAAAAAATCTTCTGGTTTATTATCATCTTTATGATACCAACAGGGCGATATGGGCTCCAAGTTTAACTGTTAGTAACAATATTCGTTTGCAGGGCGATGGCGGTGGTCCCCTGGTGTGCCAAGATGACGGCTTCTACGAGCTGGTGGGGCTGGTGTCATGGGGCTTCGGCTGCGGAAGACTCGATGTGCCCGGCGTCTACGTCAAGGTCTCCTCTTTCATCGGCTGGATAAATCAAATCATATCTGTGAACAATCCGTAGCAAAAACTAACGGTTTAGGATTACCTGGAAAATTATCGAATTGAAAGAACAAGAAAAGTCCTTGCGACTGTCTGGAATGCATTTGTTGATAAGCTTCGATAGTTTCCCAGGATCATTCATACAAAACTAAAATGTAATTTTATTATAAACCTCATAGATTTACAAAGCACATTTATTGTGATTTTTTCTGACTTCAACCTTCATGAGCGGCCATTTTAGACTGGTTAAGGCCATATTGCGTTGGTCTTTCACTTTCAGCGTTAAGTTGAAACCGATATAGAAAATCCATTATACCAAATCGGACCAAGATAGACGGAGTGCTGAGTACAATTATTCTAGTGACGCCGAAACAAAATCCAAACTATGCTGAACTTATTCTAAAACACGCATTCACATCTAAGAGAACCATTTGCAAACAACAACATGGTTTTAAGTGCATGTGTGCGTGCCCAGCAGCAGATTTAAGGGCTGTCAAAGAAAGAAACAAGAAAGATTTGTGAGTGTGTGCGTGTGAAGAACTTGAGCATGGTTTAGGCGTCAATTGAAATGTGTATGCGCTCCGTCGATTTTTTTTTTGGTTTGAGTATATGCCAGTTTTAATAATTAAATCAGTATGTGTTCATTAGCATAAACAAATTAATATTTTTGAGAATGAATGTTACAGAATCTAATAATTATAATAAGTAGATCCTTTGTTTCAAAACATACTCAGAGAATTTATTCAGCTGATTTAAACACGACTTCTATTATAGAAAAATGCAGTATTTACAGCGGAAAATGGCTTTTTGTCGTATTTCTTATTTATATTTAAGGTTAAAATGTAAATAGATAAAGTTCTGCTTTTAATGTAGATTACATAATTTATTTATTTTAGTAATGTAAGTTATTTATATCGCGGCATTTATTATTATATTCCCACCATACCTTTAAACATTTTACAGTTTTAAAAAGTGTTTAATTATAATTTTTATATTGGAAAATTTATTTAGACAGTTAAATAAATAAATATTTTTTTATCATACCTTGATAGAAAGTTCATATTTCGACCCTATTTTCGGGGACGAAAGTTCGACATTGTCTTCCGATTTAATGATTTATTAATTTAGTATACATGCGACAAATTTATAGTACGCATGCGTCAAATTTCTAGCTCTATAGTTTGTAAACATCAAAAGTATGTGTCATGATACATTTTAACATCACAATTGATCACAATGATTTGGACGCTTGCGTCAAATTTCTAGCTCTATAGTTTTACGACAAAAGTCTATGTCATGATACTTTGATAATAGATTATATTACTTGAATTTAATCGAACTTTCGATCCTGATCTGATAAAAAATAGTATACGCACTATGGGAGAAAAGTGTGACATCGCAACGCGCGTTCTTATCACCCACCCTAGCCTTCGGCTCGGGTTATGTACCACGCAGCTTGCAGTGTCATTATCTCCTCCCTAGTGGCTTAATATACAATTTTCTTGTTGGCATCTCGGACTAACAAAGAATAGCATGACGGAACGATGCGTAGGTTTCAGGTGACTCCCAAATAAAATTTAATATACAAGTGACGCCAAACAATGTTTAACTTATTGTAAGAAGGTACACATACTACATATGCTTGAGAATTATCACAATTAACATGATTTTAGGTGCATTTGATATGTGCGTCTAGCAGTGGATTTATCGTAGCCCGATAAGGAAAGTAAGAATGAAAATTTGAACTTAAGTGCATATCAAAAAGTTTTGCGTCACTTAAATATACGCAACGCTCCGCGACTAACTTTGTTGGTCTGAATGTATTGGGAAATCTATTTAGACAAATATCTGTATACTTGCAATCTACATTTTTTGTTATACGCATAGTTGTTAACTTTTGCCTGAGTCAGTTTGGTTGGCAACATCTGACTAAAAGTTTTTTTTTAATCCGAATAAATTTGAATGTGGATTGTTACTCCTGTTTATCGTTTCATTTCATAATTTGAAGTGAATTTTATATAATGTGATTCGATTTTGTGTATTAACCTCTCAAGCCTCAAGCGGCCATATGGAATGAACTATTAGTGGAAACGACGAAACAATTGTCTTCAATTGTCTCAACTGTCCAACTGTCCGATGCTGATATGCATGTTGTTTTGTCCGCTTAGGCTACTTAAGAACTTGAGATTATGTCGTCATCGAATCTGAAGTTGACTTCAAAATCTCCCAAAACCTCAACAATATCATGCATCAGTTGTGAGGAAGTTTTCGAACTCATTATTTTACAGGATAATTTCCAATTACTTGATATTGGCAAAAGTACGACCGTACGAGTTCATTATGTACGAAAAAAATTTACCTAAACAAAAACTTTGTTTTTTTTTAAATTTTTTGTGAAAAAAATGTTTTCCCTTTTTTATATTTTGGTTTACCAGTTATGTACTTAGTGTTTTAATAAGTCTATTTTAAGATTATAAATAAGGAAATATTTAATGAATTTACAGTGTGGGATCAATTAATTTAGTATTAGTATGAAAGACCAAACAGTAAGTTTTATACACTATATACATATTTATTAGTTATAAGGCTATGGTGTATTTTAGTAATACACAAACTTTCACTCAAGCCATAAAATGTCAAATTATTTAACAGTTCTTTTGTTATACATACACACAAAATTATCTCGCCAAAACCGTTTGAAGTTTGAGACAGTTTTTTTATAGTGATACATATACGACTTAAAAAACGTTTCTTTATGGTATTCGAAAAGGAAGGCATGCATTGGGTATGTTTCGAAATGTTCCCAGTATACTGGCGAATACAAATGACGTCATTAATTGACGCCATTATGTACAGGCGTGCCGCCGCCATATTGTGTGGGATATCCCGCCATATCAAAACAATTTTTGTGTGTACGCTGAATAAAGCATGACAGAATTTGTATTTATTCAAATATAAAAAAAAATATAGAATAATGTATGGTATTTCTTCACTTACTTCAATTAATTGAAACAGTATATAGGTAATGCTTTTGAAACACAAAATGACAAAATAATCGCCAACACTTTTTCAATATGGCGCAAATGTATAATGTCATCATGGAGGTTAGAACGTTAGAACCTCCATGGATGTCATAAACTGTCCAATGTTATGAAACGAATAATCAATATGGCGTCGCTTTATGAAGTCATTTTTATTGGCACTGAGTTCTATTTTGAAAAACATGCCCTTAACGACGAAGAAAGAAAAAGTAATCTTCGATAAGTGTTAACGTATTCTGGTTTTTAATTTCGAAGCGACTAACATAAGTTTCTTCTTTACAAATAAATATCATTGCTGTAAACATTGAATACTATTCTATGGCTGTAAATAAAACGTTTGGTGCTAGTATAGCTGCGTCTTTCGATTACCGTTTCAGAATACTTTATTTAGCATTCATTACAGAAATAAATATGTAAAAAAAATATGTGTTTAATTTATCAACAAATCCGAAGAATTGTTTGAAATAAAACACACTCAAGCAGTAATAGTATAATTTATTATAGTCATTACATTACATAATAAAATCATTAATATGATATTAGAATGAGGATAAAATATACATAGCATAAAAAACAACTAAATGTGTAATCGTGTGGAACTGCTCGTGCAAAATAAGTGATGATCCCTGCACCCAACAGGAGAACAGGGGAATTCCTGTTTACTCTTGCACCCACTGTATTATTAACTTAGTCAAAAATACGAAATCATCTATCGAGACATAATGAGCCTCTTTAAACATTTTCTTTCCTAACTAATATTATTAAGATAATTTGTAACTGGTGGGAGATTTTGAGTTTCTTGCCACTTGCTCAAGTGTCTCCGCAGTAGGAAATTGTTTCAGCGATAGAGTAGTGTTTGTGACTTTCAAAGAGCGCTTTGTAAAAGCCAAATTTGAATTAAAATATTTGACATTGAAGAAATATCAGTGGGAGTAGGTTGAGATGTGGTTGGGGTAGATGAAGCACCCTAAAGCGGGGGACATTTACATTTTTATATAATATATAATTTTGATATAGTGTAATGTGTTGGATACAGGCTGTATTTACCTAAAAAAAACACTGAAATGTGCAACCTTGAAGTAACATATAAAATGACTTGTTACAAGAGTAAATTGCTTTTATTCCAACTGATAATTTACATTTTACTGTCTATAAAGTTTAGTTTAGTGGTATTGTCTAAAATTATACAATCAAGCTTACAAGCTTGAATTTTTTTTTCAATACTAGTAATGCTACTAACATTACCAATATTCCCCGTAAACACTCCTGGTAAGTTTTAATTAAAGTAGTTCACGACAGTAGCCGAATGGCGGGTTAGAACCGAAGACCTTTTGAGTTCGCGGTCCGCATTCTACCATTAGGGCTACTGTCGCTTCTATCTAGGTTATTTGAAATCATATACCGGGGTCCTAGGAAGTTATAACTTTTTTTTGAATTCGAAACTAGTGTTTTAGAATTTCCAGTCATAGTAACGGGTTGCATTATACCTATAAAATTATATTCATTATATCAAATAATATTTAATTAAGCACACAATAAATACATATATATAAAGACAATATCCATATCATTTAACAAACTTATAGTATTAAAACTAAAATAGGTGTAATATTTACGCTGTAAAGCACACGCCAAACAATAATATTTCGTATTGTATACTTAGCTCGAAATACTTTTAAAAATTTAAATAATTATCTTTGTTAAAATATTTATTGAATAATTAAAGTTTATTCATTGTTATTTTTAGTATAGTGTTACGATATGTTAATACAAGCTTGTACGATATTTATGAATCAGTTATGAAGGGTCGATTTTCCTGATGAAGATACGATCCTGATATGTCCTTAGATGTTAGTCAGACCGTACATTCTCAAGGTCAGCTTCATAATAATCTCCAGGAAATTAATACTGATATTTGAACATTCAAGCTGTTAGATGAATAGTAATGTGTAAAGAAATTAAAACAATTTTAGAATGGGAA